TCTTTGGTGTGGCCTATCAAGTGTTTGATGTGAATAGTATGTGTTGCAACAAGTTTTTTTTTCCTTTTTTTTAGACACAAAACCGCTGAGCGATTCAATTTATATACAATTACAGAATTATTTCGTATTATTAGTGCCGGCTACGATATTACGAAGCCATCAACTGCATGCGCATGGGTAGCCACAACGCCGTACGTGCTTACCATCGATCCCGAGGTTGTCAAACATGTCACAACCTCACCTGAATTTCTTCACAAAGCCAGAGATTTGTATACACACTTTCATAACGGTGTATTAAATGGCATCATCGTGAGTCCAGGTACTGACGTATAATCTCTGTAGGTGCACTTTTTAGTTTATTTTCTTTTTAAAACGAGCAGTTAACAAATGGAAAACAAATCGTAAGGCTATAAGCCCGTTTCTTGCACATAGTAATATCATCGACATGTTTCCTGCCTTCAATCAGAATGCAAATAATGTGAAAAATAAGCTAGCAAAATTGGCTGGACTAGAAGAACAGGATATTTTTACAATTATCAAAGAATGTGTTTTACAGCTAAGTTTTTGTAAGTATATACAGTTAGGAGTTTTAAAACCAATTTATTTTACTAAATAATATCAGAAAACTAAAAACACATGCTCGTATCACTCATACTCTCTCTCTCTCATTTGCGAAGCACATACATTGCATGTCTCATAAAGCCGTCTTCACAATTTCGGTTGAGGTTCCAACTGTTTTTCATTGAACAATTTGCAACATATATAACCAATCCTCTTGTTGTTTAGATCAAGATCATTCGTACTACCCTTCTATATTAAATTTCAGTAACTGTTTTGGGTATAGAGATAGAAGAAGGCACTGAGAAGCACAAAGAAATGTTGCGTTTATTTAATGCGTAAGTAATGCTTTAACGGTCCCTCTATTTAACACAGACAAAATCTATAAAAAAAAAGATTAAGTAATACTTAAATGTAATTCCATTCAAATGTTTTAAAGCTTAGTTGACCACATGAAACTGGACCTCTGGTTTGGTTCATTGGGACTGGTTTTTCTATCTCGTACTCCAACTTATAAGAAAATTATTAGATACTTATGTGAGCCAGTACGATCTGTAAGTAAGAAGAATATTGCACATAAATATTATATTCGTATACGTGTATATAAATTCTATGTTTCTAAATTCGTGCAGCTAATTAAGGAAAAGCTTTCACGAAAAGGCGAGTCAGAGCCTGTGGACAATCTCGAGAAGAACCAACAAACGGTGATTGATTTAGCGGTGAAGTCCATGCGTCAGGGAGTATTTAGTGAAAAAGATGTAGAAATCGAGTCTTTCACAATGTTTGCTGCGGTAAATCTTTACATTTTATAAATAATTATTTCACACAGAACTCTCCAAACACATAATCGAACTTCTGGCGATGATTTCATTTTCTTACGTTCATACTTAAAACAGCTCTTACGTTGTCTATATTCAATGATTTGGGAAGCTTTTAATAAGTATGTATTGACGTAATTTACACTTTATCTCTGTCTTTCTGATAAGACAGACGTTGGTAAAACCCGAAGCTGCGGCTGTAAATCTTTATTAACACTTCCAAGCGATTGACAAGCAGCGTTATATTCATCTATACAAATCAAATAAAAAAAAAAAAAAAAAATTATAATAATTTATTATATATACTTAATACACGTTTAAGCTTTAAAGAACTGTTAAATTTAAAAAAAAAAAAATAAAAATATATATATATTATTTTTTCAGTCTTTTGAAACCTCTGCTTCTGCGGCATATACCTGCCTGGTGATGTTGGCCATGCATCCCGAAATACAAGAGCGTGTATTTCAAGAGGTTCGTTCCGTGTTTCCGGACGGAGTTACAACCGTAAAATATGAAGATCTGCAGAATCTTCGCTATTTGGATATGTTTGTTTCGGAAGCATTGCGTTTAGTGCCACCAATAACCTATACTGGACGGCAAACTGTACGTGACACCGAACTCTGTCCAGGTGTCATATTGCCCAAAGGCACGCAAGTTTTTGTACCAATTTATGAATTGCATAGGTGTAAGGAAGTTTGGGGTCCAGACGCACACTGTTTCAATCCGGACAACTTTTTACCCGAGAACATTGCAAAGCGTCATCCATATTCTTATATGCCTTTCTCGAAAGGTTCACGTAACTGTATTGGTACGAATGAAAGCGATTTTGTAGTTTTTGCATGTATTGATATTTATTAATGAATTTATTTGACAGGCTTTCGTTATGCTGAAATCTCGTTACGTATGACATTGATCTATGCGGTGCGGAATTTCAAATTCTCCACTACTTCTAAATATGAGGATATCGTTTTTGTTCCAAGTATTACATTGAGCTATAAAGTCCCACCATTATTAAGCATAGAGACCAGAGCAAACTAAGTTTGTAGAATTGATATTGTCATTCGATATTAATGTATGTATACATATATATAATAACTATTCACTGAATACAGGTATAATACGCAGACATACATAGCGTAAGCAAATAAAAGATTTATTGATTTATATTAGAAAATGTGTATTTCTTATGTCACAAATCAGTTAAAGTTTGCAAAGTGATCTCTTAGTTGCGCATCCCGACGGGTTAATCCAACGAGATCCCAACGTGGAACTAGCTGTCTCATGGCAGTATTTCATGCAACTCACGCGGGTTTCTTTATATTCTTACCGCCTTCTCTATCTAGTCGATCTTCAATTGATAGTTATAAATGTATGATTTGTCTCTTTCCCTCTCTATGTTTCATGGTTTTGTTTTTGTCACTTTTGGGCGCGTCTCAACAAAACCACAGACGGGGTCACGTTGAAATCATCGAAGAAGAAGAGTTGCCGGGTATACCATTAAACCGTTATCTCATTTCACTGCGCTGGTTTACTTTTAAAAACAACAATCTCTTTTCCCATCTTTCTAAAAACTACATACATACGTGCCCTCTTTTGACAGTTCGGGTTTGGGGAATGTAAAATTCTTGCGCTCTCTAAGTGCTTAAGAGATCGGCATCATGTAGTGTTATGTTACAGCGATCTTCTTTAAACTTCTGATGAACGAAGAACCCCAACCAATCAAGGTTCGTTTAGCTTGATATATTTGCTATAATGTAGGTAGGATATTTTTAAATCTTTAAAATATATTTGATGCGAAAAGTAAATATTTAAATTAATTCTCTCACCCTGCTTTATCGAGTCTTTCAAGTTCATTGTAATATAGTAATTAATTACAATTACAAGAAACGATAGAAAAACCTGAACTTGGCATCATTTCATCCATTATACCGGTTAATTTGGTAAAACTTCTAGTAATAATTCGATAACATTTTCTCCTATTTATTTTCCAAATTATTAAATCTATACCAGCTCAATTTGCTGCTTACCTCATCTCCAACAATATGTAGTATAATGATTTTCGTTATTGTAGCAGACGTTATGTCGAATATGTTTGTTATTGTAGCGGTTATGTAGTACCCAATTGGGTGGTAAGATTCAGTTTGCTTGTCATCGAAGCCTTTTAATGGTAGGCTCAACGGGTTTCAACGGGTTCGTACAATACAGAGAGCGTATGAGTTGAGTGGATTTCGCTGGACATGCGAAGAGGTGGTTATAGTTATGCGGAGACTCATTGCAATCTGGACAAGTTTAATCTGCTACAGTATTCGGAACAAAGTTACGCTAGGCTCACGCAAGCTTATCGTTGAAACTCGAGCTTTTCATTTGCAATATGTGGTTGCTTGACTCTAAGTACGCCATTCATTGATGGGGAATAATAGGGTAATATTATTAATGGCTGCATTGTGAGTGGCGGTCAGTGTGTGTCTAAAGTTAGTTGCGTGATCAAGGAAAGACCGCTTGATGTTCCTAACACAACCAAGCATAAATTGCTGGAGAGCAGTGTACTATGTTCCTTGCAGTATTGTGACACATCTGAAGCTTCCTCGTCTGCGTTTTACAACACCCTGGCGATCATATCCGTGTAGCGCAGCTTCTGGCCGGCTGACCGATTGCCTTGTATGTTGGCAATCACGTTTCTTTGACCTTATCCCACAAGCTACCAGCTTGCGACTTGAGGATCTTGTTGCGGCTCAAGGCTTTGACAGTAATCGTGGTCATATGAGAAGTGAAGAAATATGTTTCTCAGAATGAATCAACGCTGAATTTTTTGATGATCGTAGCTTTCCATTTTGTTGAAAATGGGATAATTCTCGCACCTTTGAATCTACAAACGTATATGAACTAAAGTTTTTGTGCACATTTGTATGTAACAAAAGTGCTTAACATACTGCTCTTAACAAATTGTAATATCTTATTTGTTTGTATTGGAACAAAGTATAAAGAGTGTAAATAAGTAAATAATATTGTTCAATGTTGAATTACTTGTTATGTTATTTCTACATGGTTTTATTTTTTAAATGTATATGTAAGTTCATTAAAGACAATTGCTCATGAATTAAGTACTTAATTAGTTTCAGAGGTATCGAAGTTAGCTTCGGACATAGATTGGGTATCGATCAGAGGCAAGAATTATACAACAATATGCACAAATGTTACAAAAATATTCCTTCCAATTTCTACACTAAATCTCATAGACTGATGGTTTTTTCGAAAAAAAAAACAGCCAAAAGTCCATTTATCGCGCCACTCTGATCATTTTTATATACACACAGAATTCTATATTTATTTATCTCGGCAATCGTTAGGCGAACAAAACTATTATTCCATGTAACAACAATAATGAAATAAAACATATAAATATACCGTTCTTTTTTTTTAATTTAATAATTAAATAAATCTTATAAACAAAAAATGCGTCCAATTTCCTCGGAATGTGTGTTTCTCTGTGAATAATTGTTGTCACATCCGATTTTACCGCATAATAATTCCAGCTAAACATTAATCTCAGAAAACAAAGTAGATACCGACTTCGTATAAAAGTTAGTGTTCGACTCAGTTCGAGTTATTTCATACATTCTGCTGAGTCGTGGTGTGTTGAACTTCTTGGTGCGAAAATGAGTGCCATAATTGGAGTAGAAACCCTGATTATAACGGTAATCATTCTGTTACTCTCAGCCAGCTGGCGTTTGTATCAAAGGCGGAAGTACTATCGCAGTGTCACCTCCAAGTTCCCTATTATTTGCGGTATTCCTTTAATTGGAGCAGCCTATCATGTGTTTGATGTGAATAGTAAGTGATTTGAGAAGTTGCTGTTGCCAAAAATATGCAGCGGAGTTAAAAGCGATTTAATTTGTACACAATTACAGAATTATTTAATAATATCAGTAACGGCTTCCATATCATGAAGACATTAACTGGTTGCATGTGGGTAGCCGCAACGCCGTACGTGCTTACCATCGATCCTGAGGTTATCAAACATGTCACAACCTCGCCTGAGTTCCTCAACAAAGCCCCCGATTTATATACACACTTCCATAATGATCTATTAAATGGACTCATCGTAAGTCCAGGTGATAGCACATAGCCTTTACAGGTATAAATTTACTTACATTTTATTTCACATATATTACTCTTCCGAGCAGCAAAGAAATGGAAAATCACTCGCAAGGCCTTAAGCCCTTTCCTAGCGCATAATAATGTTGTTGCCTTGTTTCCTGCCTTCAATCAGAATGCAAATAACGTGAAGAATAAGCTGGCAATATTGGCTGGACAAGGTGAACAGGACATTTTTACAATTATCAAAGACTGCGGTTTAGAATTGAGCCTTTGTAAGTATATGTAGTTAGAAATTTTAAAGAAAATTTATTATATTATAGCGAACCAAAGAAATTAAAATATTTGCTCGCGCCATTCACTCTCACTCACTCTCATTTGGAAATATTTACTGCACAACCAACTCAGCACATTTAACCGAGTTTTCGAGCGTTTGGGAAATCAATGATTGTGGACTTTGTTAATCTCTTTCGGATATTTTATGACAGCAAATCTAGCAAAAGGATTGGCAATAAAGTAGGCCACTGTGCTATGCAACTTCTGATAAAAGGTGCAGAAGTTGGTTTAAAAATTTTAAATCTTTCATATTTAGCAATGTCCGATTGTCTGTCAATAGACATGTATGCTAAAGCTAGTCTCTCAACTGGCTGGCGCGCTGTTGTTAACTCGGCTATAATCGCGTAAGCGGTGTCTACGCCAATCAAGAAGATGAAGTCTCTCAACTTGTGAGGTATCGATCTGAAATTTTGCATACCTCATTTTCTCTCCGAGAGCAGCTCATATGTCGGAATCGTCGATACCAGACAACTACGGCATATAGTTGTCACGCAAACTGTAGGATCAGAATCACGATTTTGCATGAGGAATATTTTTATTTGACAAGATATCTTGGCTACAGTTATTGTTTTAGTCAATGGTTTTTATTATCTGACAATTTTTTTTTAGACTATTATATCGGGTGATTTTTTAAGAGCTTGATAACTTTTTTAAAAAAAAAA